GTCGGTTGAGCGTCCGACTTTCGCTTAGGTCATGATCTCGCGGTTCGTGGTTCGAGCCCCGCGTCGGGCTCTGTGCTGACTGCCAGCTCAGAGCCTGGAGCCTGTTTCAGTCTGTGACTCCCTCTCTCTCTGACCCTCCCCTGCTCACGCTGTCTCTCTCTCTCTCTCTCTCCTAGAAATAAATAAAAAATATTTTAAAAAAAAAGTAAAAAAAGAAAAAATGTTTACGTATATTGAGAGAGTTAGAAAGAGGGAGGTATGAGTGGGGGAGGGGCAGAAAGAGTGGGAGAGAGAGAGAATCCCAAGCAGGCTCCATGCTGTCAGTCAGTGCAGAGCCTGGCACAGGGCTTTATCTCATGAACCCTGAAATCATGATCTGACCTGAAACCAAAAGTCAAAAGCTTAACCAACTGAGCCACCCAGGTGCCCCTATTTGATTTTTTTTCTGTAACTATTCATAGTCATTATGTTGGAAGGGTTTGGGTCACATAACTTCTTGATTTTTTCCTCCACTCACATATCACCATTTAAATCTATTCCAAAAATGTTTCTGTGTCTTTTAATTAAAAAAATATTTTTAACTGGTAAATATCTGTTATCTGCCTTACCTGATAAGTTTCCTCCTCACCTCTTTCTAAGTGATACTTTTAAATTCAATCAACAGCAACGGATTCATTATTACTCAGAATAACTTAAAAAATCCATTATTTTCTCTCTAGAGAACACACCACCCTAAATTTTCTCACAGATTTATATTCCCTTATTTATTGCTAAAGAGAAGATGGATAAAAAGCATTAGTGTGAAGACATGATTGAAGTTCTCATAAAGTCTTTCCCCACCAGCCCTCGACCAGGGAGGAGAGATCGCCCAGGAGTTGCCACACATTTCACGCAGTAAAATGACACCGCTCAGTGCCTCATGTGTCCACGTACCTTTCCTAGACAGGAGCCAACTTGAAGGGAGTTGCCGGAGCTCCGTGTTATGTGTTAGATCTCTGAACATCCTGCCGGGATAGCCCAGCAACCTGCACAGGGATTATCAGTAAAGCAACATGAAGCCATTGTGAGCACTTCCATGTCCATTATCTCTGAGACCATAAGTAAATGTCTATGCATGGCAATCACTGAGTGCATACTAACTGGGAAGTCTTTGGGGGATGCAAAGTACCCAGTATGCCTCTTGTCCACACCTCCTGCCTGAAAATTATTACTGCAAATGTGCTGGAGAACATTACCACTTCTATCTTTGTTTTATGTTTATTTAATTTTGAGAGGGAGAAAGACAGAGTGTGAGCAGGGGAAGGGCAGAGAGAGAGGGAGACATAGAATCCAAAGAAGTCCCCAGGCACTAAGCTGTCAGCACATAGCCCAATGCAGTGCTTGAGCCCACAAACTGCAAGATCATGATCTGAGCTGAAGTCAGACCCTTAACCGACTTAACCACCCAGGTGCCCCGGGCATTCACAATCACGTGAACTGGTTCATGCCTTGCCTTTGTGAGTTTGGTCTGCTGTAGCAAAGTATCACAGACGTGAGGCATTTCTTTCTCACCTTCTGTAGGATGCAAGTCCAAGATCAAGGTGCTAGCACATGTGGTTTGGGATGAGGACCCTCTTCCTGGCCTATAGAAAGATGCTTTCTTTTTTTTAATGTTTATTTATTTTTTAGAAAGAGAGAGACAGAGACAGACAGAACACAAGTGGGAAAGCACAGAGACACACACACAGAATCTGAAGCAGGTTCCAGATTCCAAACCGTCAGAAAAGCCTGACACAGGGCTTGAACCCACAAATTGTGAGATCATGACCGATCTCATGATAAGCCGAAGTCAGAGGCTCAAAGACTGAGCCACCCAGACACCCCTAGACAGATGCTTTCTTACTGAGTGTTCACATAGAGGAGAGAGAGAGAGAGAGAGAGAGAGAGAGCGAGCGAGCTCTGGTTTCTCCTCCTTTTCTTACAAGGGTACTTATCCACTATGGTAGCTTCACACTCATAACCTCATTCAAGCCCAATTATCTCCCCAAAGACTTACCTCCAAATACCATGATGTTGGAGGTTAGGACTTCACCATATGAATTTGGGGGGCATAAGCATTCAGCTTGCAACATTTCCTACTCCAGGAAACATCCTTTGCCTTCTACTCTTTATAAAACGTCTGCTCACACTTCAAGGCTCTGCTTAAGAGGCAATGCTCCATGAACTAGATCTCTGAGCCAATATAATCTTCTGGATCCATTGCCCTCTCTATGTATTGGTCTCTCATTAGGTATCATTTAAAGAAAGTACAATATAGGGGTGCCTGGGTGGCTCGGTTGTTTAACTTCCGATTTTGGCTCAGGTCATTATCTCATGGTTCGGTTTGTGGATTCAAGTCCCATGTCGGGCTCTGTACTGACAGCTCAGAGCCTGGAGCATGCTTTGGACTCTGTGTCTCCCTCCTTTTTTCCCCTCCCTTACTTGCACATTCTCTCTCTCTCTCTCTTAAAAATAAACTAACATTTTAAAAATTAAAGAAATTACAAGTCTAGGATTAAGTGAAGAGTTAATATAAGGTAGAGTAGTTGTGACAAAGAATTGCTTGGGAAATATATGAGAGGGAAAAATGATAAAACACAATGAAACACTATAAAATAAAAACAAATAACAATACAATGACATCTCAAAGTGCAACAGTAGAGAGAGCTGGCCTGGAAGACTCTAAGAGGGGGTAGTTTTTATGGCTGTGACCAATCCCATAAAGCACATGTGCGTATCCTCAGAGTTTAATATTATCCATTTAAAACTTGATTAGAAGAACGCAATTATTTTTAAAAAGAAATTAAAAAATAACTTAGTAATTCAATAGCTGCTGCTAAAGGATCTATGAGCTAGAAGTTTCACAAAACGAACTTTCCCACGGCAGACCATGTCTCTGTCTTGCACAATTAAAATCAGTTCAACTAATTCTCCTCAAATGTATGGCATTAATTGAGAAAAACCATCACTGAATGTATTAACAGCTACAAAAGTGACTTCCTGAGCCTGGGGTACCCTTGTTCAATGATGTATGATTTGAAATATATTTCTTTACAACAACTTAGAAATAGCCAGTATCTTAAAATATAAATGCACCCCATATTAAGTAAAACATACATTAGCCAAGATTCATCATGAGTCAACTTCACCATTTATAGAATAAATTTATAGAATACAAGGTAAAATGATTGTCTATAATTATAAACATCCATTGAGATTCAATTTATTTATAGAATATAATCTCATAGCCATAGAATGCACATTGTGTTACAAAAGCAAATAAGACATACATTTAAGACAAAATGGATCAGTTCTGAGGCATAGGAAGTGCAAAAATGCTTGGGCAGATTTTTTTTCCTAATATGGGGAAATATTTTGTTAAATCTGCTATGATAGGGGCACCTGGGTGGCTCAGTCAGTTAAGTGTCCAACTTTGGCTCAGGTCATGATCTCTCAGTCCGTGGGTTCGAGCCCCACTTCAGGCTCTGTGCTGACAGCCCAGAGCCTGGAGCCTGCTTTGGATTCTGTGTCTCCCTCTCTCTCTTCCCCTCTCCTGCTTACTCTCTGTCTTGGTATCTCAAAATAAAATAAAGACATAAATTTTTTTTAAAAAATCTGATATGATATACCAATTCAGTTAAAAATGTGCAAAAAAAAGATATGAAGGGTATTTTTTAGAGCTTATTTATTTATTTTGTGAGGGAGAGAGGCAGAGAGAGAGGAAGAGAGAGACAATCCTAAGCAGACTTCACACCGTCAGCACAGAGCCTGACGTGGGGCTCGATCTCATGAACCCATGAGATCATGAACTGAGTAGAGATCAAGAGTCAGGTGCCCAACTGCTGAACCACGAAGATGCCCCTGGAGGGTATTGTTATTGGCCCTTTGAACAAATGAGATTTTTCAAAATGTTTATTTTTTTTCCCCTGCATGAGCAGGGGAAGGACAGAGAGAAAGGGAGACACAGAATCCAAAGCAGGCTCTAGGCTCTGAGCTGTCAGCACAGAGCCTGATGTGGGGCTTGAACTCATAAACAGTGAGATCATGACCTGAGCCAAAGTCAGAGGCTAAGCTGACTGAGCCATACAGTCACTGGAACAAATGAACTTTGATGCTACACAGTCTCTGTTACCAATAGACTTACTGATCAGGGATCTGCTATTTGCAGCCCCTGTATTTCAGTTCATATTTAAATAGGTGGTTTTATTTAAGGACTCCAGGAGGAAAGGAGGTAGCGCAAGGGACAGAACTATTCTGAAACCAAAATCTGAGTGGTCTTAAGAACTTTCCACATCTGCTTCACGGTGGGGAAGGCACTGGGACCTGGCAAAATAGTCTCAGATAAGTTGGGAACCCTTCTGGGACCTTGTTCTCTGGGGCATAGAAAATGCCTGAAAGGTGAAAAATTGTAAATAACTATGAAAAGATAATCAATGTAACTATTATGTAACTGTATCCAGAGAGGAAAAATTTTGCATTGACACTCATGCATGACAAAGAGGTATAAGGAGAGGTTTTTGGTTTTGCTTTTTGTTTGCTTTTGTTCCTTGCTTTACAAGATATCTTAAAACATTCAAGATTGATTTTGCAAGTAAAGCAAAATGTCCACACAGTGTTAAATCTATTTTATCAGACAGTATCTTTCTTTGTGAACTACAAAACCCTTGTTACCAAGATTTGCAGCATCCCGGATACATATTAAAAGAAAAAAGGAAAGGGGCACCTGGGTGGCTCTGTTAAGCAGCTGGCTTCAGTTCAGGTCATGAACACATGGTTCATGGGTTCGATCCCCATGTCGGGCTCTATGCTGATGGCTTAGATCCTGGAGCCTGCTTTGGATTCTGTGTCTCCCTCTCTGCTCCTCCCCTGCTCATGCTCTGTCTCTTTCTGTCTCTCAAAAATAAACATTAAAAATATTTTTTAAGGAAAAATTAAGAATATTGGTGAGTCAGCAGAATCTGCCCACATTTATCCCTTCCAGAAAGAAGACTCTGATTGTCAAAGCAAGAGAGATTTGAAGGCTGGGTTAGGAGAAACCACCACAGAGACTCTAGTACCTGAATAAGACATCTCTGAAGCTCAAAGGTATGGGTTCCTCTCTCCTTTGGGGCATATGGGAAACTGCACTTCCCACTCTTCTGTGGATGGGTGGGATCCTGACTAATGCTGGCCAATACCTGTGGGTGGAAGTGATATGTTATTTCTAGCCTGAGACACTAATCCTGTAAGACGCTGCTGATCTGCCTTTCCTCTTGTCCCCACGTCCCAGTAAGTGCATGTTTCCAAATGTGCAACTACAAGGCAGAGGAGCCTCCATAACCGATATTCCCGAGTGATTTTGTGGAATAGAGTCTCCTTCTTGTCAACTTTTATGACTATCTCTCAAACAAAAATAAATAGATAGATGGGTAGGTGATAGATAGATAGATAGATAGATAGATAGATAGATAGATAGTAGATAGATGTCATATAGATAGATGAGAGAGAGAGAGAGAGAGAGACAGAGAGAGAGAGAGACAGAGAGAGAGAGAGAGAGACAGAGAGAGAAATGATAGGTAGAGATTGAGACTTTGGGCTTGTTTGTCGTGAAAGCACACCAAAATCTATCTTGACTACTATATCAAAATATGACCAACAAGCTACTTTTCAATATTTATGAAATCGTATCCATTGCCATAGAATTATTTTCTTGAAAATAGAGGAACAGCCTTTGAGAAATAGGAAAATTTCCAAACACTGAGATGTAATCTTGGGAGAACATGGAGATACATGACCCCTCTACTTCCCATGACAACCTATGAAGTAACCTTTCTCTTATTTCCCTTATTTTACAGATGAGAAAACTGATGTACGGCCATGTTGGGAGAGATCTGCTAATATTCACATGGCTAATAAGGGACGAAGTTATAATTCAAACCCACATTCTGTTTATTTTTTTCTTATTTTCCACACTGCATCACAGATGGACCTTCTATAGAAGAAAAATCTTTTATGTAGTTTTCTTATCTCTGAACATGGTCTCTTTCTACATAGAAGTGTATCTTTCTAAATTTTTGAATCTTTACATATCTTATAGTTTAAAATCTTTAATCTTTAATGTTAGTATTTTCCAAATATACAACATACATACATATACACACTGTACTGTTTTTAAAAAATATTTATTTAAATTCCAGTTAGTTAATATACATTATAACATTAGTTTCAGGAGTACAATTTAGTGATTCAGCACTTCCATACATCACCCAGTGCTCATCACAAGTGCCCTCCTTAATCCCCATCACCTATTTCACCTATCACCCCACCTTAAACCCTCTCTGGAAACCATCGGTGTGTTCTCCTTAGTTAGGAGTCTCTTTCTTGTTTTGACTCCCTCTCTTTTTTTTTTCACCCTATGATCATTTGTTTTCCTTCTTAAATTCCACAGTTGAGTGAAATCATATAGTATTTGTCTTTCTCTGATTGATCTATTTCACTTAACATTATAGTCTCTAGCTCTACTCACATCGTTGCAAATGGCAAGATTTCATTTCTTTTTTGATGGCTGAGTAATATTCCATTATATATATAATATAGTATATATTATATATTATATTATATTATATATATAATGTGTGTGTATGTGTGTATACACACACACACACACACACACATTCCTTTAGCATTCATCAACAGTCAATGGAGTTTTGGGCTCTTTCCAGAAATAAGCACTGTACATAAAGGATCAAAATAAAATGTAATTTCTTTTGGCTTGTTTACAATTTTTACCCTTTAAAAATGCCAATGTTAAATATCCTCTATGATCCACACGTCAAATAGGACCATATCAAACTGTTGATTTTGAGTCTATTCACCGACTAGTCTGTCCACCTAACAGAAAGAACATGGCTTTGGGTGAGAGAAGCCAGGGCTTGAATTTGAGCTGTGCCTTGTCTAGTCATGAGGTTTAGGGCAAAAGTCTTAAAGTCACGAGTCCTAGCCTCTTCATCTGTATGAGAGCATAATAGTACTTATTTGAAAAGATCACTGTTAGGACTAGAAATCACATTTCTCCTCTTTGTTTTTAGCAAAAGAATTTACACTGTGCCTGTTTCAAAGCAGGAAAGTAGAAACTATTTGGATTAGCTGTTTTCAAATTTGATTAGCGAAATGGGCTGTGTTTTAAAGTCCATTATTTGGGAACACTCTTGGAATGTTAATTTCATGATGCATCAACTCAACTGTATCAGAGTAAATTCGATAAAAAGCATCATATGTCTTCTAAAATTGGTATTCCATACTTTTTGCATATTTATTATTCCTATGTAAGTGTTAACGATTTTTCAATAGACAATGACTATACATAATAATCTACTGTTGGTGAGGCATTTTTTCCTGCTCAAAGAAATATTTTTCATCAGTTGCCTTTAATGGAACATTGGGACTCCTCTGGATGTGAAGCTCCGTAAAGTGATTGTATGGGGTTGTAAAAAGTCTTTTTCCATTTACATAAATACAAAGAGAAACGTCTTTTATCATTCACCAAAACCCATGGCCATTTAAAAATATATATTGGATGCTGAGATTATAAATTAATGCTCAGATGGGAACTTTGACCTTTTTTTGGAAAAGCAAAAAAACTGATATTCGAATTTGGAGAATATGGAATCCCCAGGAATCCCATGCTGGGCACTACCTAGAACTTGAGTTAAGTCATTTATTTTTTTCTTAGAAACTCGACAAGTAAAATAATATGTCTACTGTCCCCACACAGAAAGATGCATGACACGTATCCAAGTGCTTTGCCAATTATGTTATTAATACCAATGTGTATTTTTGATCTATCTAGACATTAAACAATTACATCATATTTTCCTGTACTGAAAAAAGGTATTAAAAATTTGCCTTTTATGGAGGAGTATTAGTGGCTTCTTCTCTTCCCATTAGATACTCAAATCTAAAGTATAAGTTTTAGTCTCAGAGAACACTGTTTCGACTGGTTTCATCTCAAAATTTAATTTGACATAGGGAATAATGAACTTTATGGATATGTATTTTTACTTTTTCTTTCCTTTTTTTCTTTTTACTCTAGACTTTGTATTTGCAAGTTGGAGACTTTCCCTCCGTTCGTTCTTTTACAGGTATTGTCAAAAAAAATTCAGCTATGCTGTGGTATTTTTTAAGAACGGAAGAAGAAATGGTGATTGATTTTCATTTTTTGTATTTTTGGAGGTGATTACAACAAAAAAAAATGTTTCTGAGCAATGAGGATAAAAAGATTGAGAAAAAGTGCTTATTTATGTTAAGGTCGATAGACGAATTACCTTCAAGTTCAGGCCTTGTTCATAGCTTTCATTATTGTTCCCATATTGAACTTTATTTCTAGGATAAAATTTAATGGAAGTTGCTTTAAAAAATAATTTCCACTCTCCACCTTTTTCTGTTATTCTAATCCAGATCCTTTTTGTGAGCCATAGATATGGAATCCTCACGTTCTGATGGCTGCTTTTTGTGTGGAGATTATATTTGAATACTAAATTTTATCTGAGCCCTCAGCTAACAATACGTATAAAAATAGCACTCTGGGCTAGTTCTGAATTTAGAAAAAAGCATATAATTGTGCTTCCATTTTCTTCTGATATTATTCAAATTGCCGTATTAAATAGACAAAGCAATGAATTTTTAGTTCAGCTCTTAACATTGCAGCAAAGCTAAGGAATTAAATATAGAGAATGATGGTGACATGCACTGAAAAGCAGAGTCGAGAAGCCATTCAGTCCTTCAAACATACTTCAGAAAAACTCTGGCAAGCCCCAGCATGACTTTTTATGGCTTTTTAATACTTCAGAGCATAAGTTTACCCTTCTCAGACCAAAGTTGGCCTGAGGTCTCCATGACAAAAAGGATGCATGCATGAATAATCAGGAATTCAGTTCTTCTGGTATTTTTTGCCATCAGCGGCCGTTCTGCGATGTGATGTAGCCAAAATATATTTTGGCATAAGTCAAGAATAGTAAACCCTGTTTCCCAGTAAATTTCCTTTTTTTTTTTTTTTCAAAATATCCACTTGTTTATTGCAACTGCATTCCAAAAGAGTCTCTTTACATCTTTTATGGTGTAATTCTCAATTACAGCATTCACTTTGTGAGAAAACAAAGGAAACAAACAAACTCACAGAAATCTGTCCTACTGAGAGAAACAAGAAGCTCTGAAATGTAGAGACTACTCTAAATAAACCATAAAGATCTGCCAGAGGCCGTTAATACATAACATGAAAGTAAGTCCAGTGGATTTCCTCAAGAACTGGATTTTTCTAATTCTCAGAGTGCAAGAGCCCACATTTCCACAAACACATCATTGTCTTAAAATTTCAAATTACTAATAGTTTCATTGGAAAGCAAATGGCACTTCCTCTAGGAAGTTTCCTGCCCTGCCTCTGGCTAGATTAGTATCTCTCTCCTCTTCCCCACATGTGAATGGTACTTTGAATTTATCATTCAAAGTGTAATGGTCTGAGTTGTAAATGTATGCTGCCTTTGTTGTTTACACATTGTTTGTCTTGCTCACTGAAACAAGGGACCACAGAAAGCTTGGGCTGCCATATTTCTATTATCCCAAGCCCCACACCAGACACGTAGGTACCAATGAACAATTGTCAAAAATGACCTCATGATGGGGCACCCGGGTTAAGTGTTTGACTCTTGATTTCAGCTCCAGTTGTGATCTCATGGTTCATGGGTTCAAGCCCTGCATTGGGCTGTGTGCTAACAGCACGGAACCTTCTAGAGATTCTCTCTCTCCCGTTCTCTCTCTCTCTCTCTCTGCTCTTCCACAACTCGCTCTTTGTCTCTCAAAAAAATATATAAATAAATATATAAACTTAAAAAAAATAAGCTCATGAGACCATCAGGTAAAATTTTATTTTTCTTCGGAAGGTACGTTCTCATGGTTTAATTTGAGTATTTATCCTACCTGGTTATATAGGCAACAATTATCTGCTGAATTCTGGAGGAATTTCCACCTGCTGTCGTCAGTTATTTTTTCTTTTTAGCTTCGAAAATTTATTTTTGCGATTTCTTTGATTCATGTTTGTGGGGCTCATCCTGATAAATTTCTGTGTTTCAATATGAGAAATACCACTTGTAATCCATTATATATTTTTTTATCGTTGATAAATGTTTTCCATGTGCTCTGTAAATGTATGTTCTCCCTCAGTCCTTATATTAATACCTACCTCTGAGGTAGGTATTACCTCCATTTTAGAGACAAGGAACTTGATTCTCAGGATGCAGCAAACTGGGATTTGCAACCAAATTGGGGTTTAGGACTGGACTCTTAAATTGTGTTCCATCTACTTACCGATGCTTGGAGTCAGACTAGGGAGTCAGAAAAAGTAAGCTCTTTGAGTCCCCACCAAACACAGAAATGGAAATATGTTATGGTTAACTTTTGTTGACCATTCTTTTCCTGTTTACTTCTATCATGGGTAGTTCTTTTTTTTAAATTTTTAATGTTTTATTTATTTCTGAGACAGAGAGAGAGAGGCAGAGTGAACAGGGGAGGGTCAGAGAGAGAGGGAGATACAGAGTCCAAAGCAGGCTCCAGACTCTGAGCTAGCTGTCAGCACAGAGGGCTGGGGCTCAAACCCACAGACCGTGAGATTATGACCTGAGCCAAAGTCGATGCTTAACCGACTGAGCCACCCATGCGCCTCAATCTTGGGTAGTTTGAATAGCTACTGTGTCCTTGTTACTCTCTGCAGATGACTGAACATGGCATCTCAACTATAGAAATATGGTGCCCACCAAGGGAGTCTACACCAGCTCTCCACATGTGCAGATAACGGGCCAGGAACCACCTCCTCTTCCATAACCCTTAAGGAGCCATTTTTCTGCAAAGGTTCAGAAGTTTTAAGAAGGCATGACAGATTGATCCCTAATTTATCAGTTTGTTATACTGAGAGTCCAAATCTACTGAACAGCAGGATTAAAAGCCAGATACTGAGTGTCTTCTCACCAGTGAAATCATGTGGTCTTATCTGTGGGGAAATAAAGAGGATCTCTTTGAAGTGTCCGTGCCCATCAGTGGATGGAAGCAGCATGAAACCATTTTACCTTCTGGGATGGCCAGTTTTTTTGGTATCAGTTTGATGGGGCCACTGGAGTGCCCACATTAGGTATGACTTTGGGTGTGTCTGGAAGATATTAGGACTCTGTAAATTACAGTTGATGGCCACCCCTCCTGTAGGTGAGTATCCTCCAATCCATGGAGTGCCTGACTAGAGCGATGGCCTGACTTGCATGTCTGCCTCCTGAGCTGGGGAACATCTCAGCTCAGCTCAGTTCATCTTGTTCTTGGACTGGAATTCATACCATCAGCTCTCCTGGTTGTCAGCCTTTCCAATTCAGACTGGAATCACACCACCCACTTTCTTGGGGGTCCAATTTGCAAACTCGGATCGTGGGTCTTCCCAGCCTCCTTAATCCCATGAACCAATTTCTCACCATAAAGCTCTCAATATACATATTCTTTCCAAGGGTGTGGCTAGCTTACTACGGAGCATTGGAACTATCTACACACATCAAATACAGAGGTGCTTAATTCATCCACCATGTGTGATGCACTGTGCTGGTAGATCGAATACAGTGATGAACTCAATCCAGCCTAAGCCTTACAGGAGCTCACAGTCCCAAGAAAGAAAGAAGTGGGGGAATCAGGGCAATCACAGCACCTGGATAAGGGAGGCTATGGCAGGAGGAATATATAGGGTGCTAAAAGAGTAAGGAAGAGGAACCCTTAATGCTTTTTTGGAGGAAGGAAACTCTCAGAAGGCTTCCTGGAAGAGGGGACCCACGACACAAAGTGTTGATGAATGAAAAGCATTTTGCCACAGTAAGGAGGAAGAGAGCTAGGCTAAACACCTCACGTGTGAGGGCCTCTGTGCATATAAGCGTGGCACATTCAGCGACCTGTAAACAGTTGTCAATGACAATAGCGCAGTGTCAGTGAACAGGTGGAGAAAGAAAAAAGTTCGACTTATGAAGGACCTTGTGTTCATTCACGTGTGTAGAATTCACCTGAAAGTAAAGGCAACAACTGGAAGGCTCAGAGCCTGCATGTTGTAACTGGCTACATGCTTAGAAATGGCTCCCAGTCATAGTATGAAGGTCAGCGTTGGCTGCCTGTGAAGACTTTCCTTGGGAGTGACCAATGGCAGCTGAGAGCCATGCTGGGACAGGCTCAGCCTTGCTGGACACATGAGGCAAGGACAAGGAGCCAGGTGTGCAGGTATTGATTGAGGGATGAGACAAAAGATGGCCCATTGGAAGCTGCCAGGAGTAGAAGAACCTACAGAGGAGAATGAATTAGTGAATAATAAATGGTGATGGAAAACAGGGACCAGACATCTTGATGAGACAAAAGAAGGATGGTCAGAACCAATAAATGCAAGGATCAAGGCTGGGAAGGAATGATCTATAACTTTCTTAAAGTTGAGTTTCAGCGGCACTTGGGTGGCTCAGGCAATCATGTGTCTGATTTCGACTCAGGTCATGATCTCATAGTTCGTGAGATCGAGCTCTGCATCGGACTCCGTGTTGACAGCCCGGAGCCTGGAGCTTGCTTCAGATTCTGTGTCTCCGTCTCTATCTACTGCTCCCCAACTCACCCTCTGTCTCTCTCTCTCAAAATAAATAAACATTTAAAAAATTTTAAGTTGAACCTCAAATACACATTTAATAAAATCAATCCTTTATCTTCTTAAGAGTTCATAATATCATCTTGTACTTAATTGCATATAATACATATCACATACACTAAAATAGTAAGAACTGTATTATTCTCCTCTAGAATACAACTTCCGTTATTCTGGCTTCTTTTTTGATTCATCCTCAAATTCTGAAAGGTCACACTGCAACCTAAAAGCAGTTTGATAAACAACTAGGCTTTGAGGATGAATATTCAATTAGCATCCTATAGATTGTGCATGTTATTTGGCACTTGGCACAAATATTACTTTTTGTGACATCGTTGAAAATCTGCTGGCGATGAATTACTTGTACACCAGAGCCATCCAAGATTATCTTTCTTCTTCAGATTTCCCTTATTGTTACCTCATTCAAATCAGTATTCGCCAGCTGAAAGAGAGAATGAATATCTGATTAATATCTGTTGCTTGATTAATATTGTTCTCATTTTTTACGAGACTTGTTCACCATTGATCAAGCAGGGAGTCATTTCATACCTTTGTTTTATCACAGCCCCTTAATTTTCTTTGCCAATCAACTTCCAAGTGTGGGATCTATTCATGTTCATTGGCAATATTGCTATAACTCTTCTTTTGTGCAGAAAAAGGTTCCTCACCAAAAGAAGGGAATAGGTGTTCTTTGCTGAGATAACGTTGGGAAGTCCAAGATTAAGGTCAATTAACTGAGTATCTTTGGAATGTTTGTTTTGACATCTAAGAGCTATTAAAAAATGTGCTTTCCAAACATTTTATTGAACTCCTTTTTCAATGAGAAGGGGGTGGAGCTAGCATCCCTTGGGATTCTTTAAAAATCCTATCTTACGTGCGGTGCCTGCCTCTACCCTTTTCTCACATCTGTCCACCAGTCCTCTCCCTTCCAAAAAAATACCTGCAGTTTCTCATTGTCCACAGAAAAGCATCCAGCCTATTTAGCAGACATCCATAATTTGACACAACTTTCCCAGAGTTTTACCACTTCCCACTGGCTACTATATTCTTGGGTCATAGAAGTCAAAGTTCAAATACTCCATTGATGATTGTACATGACACTTCATGGCATTTCCTCTCCCTGGAATGCTGTTAGCCCTTACCCACAGAAAAACTCATACTGAGCCTTCTATTCAGGGTGCAAATAATCTTTTCCCCTAGAAAGCCAATTTTCCCCTCATTTTTTTAAAAATATTTTTTATTTATTTCTAGGAGAGAGAGAGAGACAGCGTGAGCAGGGGAGGGTCAGAGAGAGAGGGAGTCACAGACTGAAACAGGCTCCAGGCTCTGAGCTGGCAGTCAGCACAGAGCCCGACGCGGGGCTCGAACCCACGAACCGCAAGATCATGACCTAAGCGAAAGCCGGACGCTTAACCGACTAAGCCACCCAGGCGCCCCAATTTTCCCCTTCTTATAAAAACAATCCAAAGTGTTTCTCATAGACTATAGAGCTCTTAAATATCCCCAGTTGACTCTCCAACCACAGTTTCTAGCATTACACCTTCACCAACCCCGAACCCTGTCACATTTGTTCCCTTTGTCTAAAATATTTTTCACTGCTTTGCTCCATCATACTGGGTTTAAGGTCACTTGAAATATCTCCTCTTCTGAGAAGCCTTCCTTGACTTGTCTATTAAAATAGCATCTTCTTCCTATCCTTCTTCCTTAAACATTTCTTTTATCCTTATTACTGATTACGGCCATGTTTTATTTGTTGGTGTTTGTGTCTCCCACAGGAATGTAAACTCTATCATGGGAGGGACTTGGACTCATGTTCATTTTGGTTATGTGTGATCTCTCCACCACAGAAGAGTTTTGGCCTTACTAAATATATTATTAAATGAAATAATGAATAAATGATTTAAGAAACTACAAATTGGAAGAAGTAGATACCACTCTACTAGGCTTTCTCCTTGCTGTGGTCCTTGAGAATAGAGAGATATACGCATAGAGACAAAGAGATTGATAGATATAACAGAATTGTAGTGGACATTGAAAGACTTTCTTGCTACCAGGCGTCTATTAAAATATTTTTCTAGTAACATCCTCAATTCCCCCTTTGTGTTTCTCCCCACTGTACTCAGCATTGGTAGGATTATCAGTCAAGGTGGCCTGCCACACCCAAACCAAGAAGCGGTCCTCTGAAATAAATTGTACCAGGTAAATTCCTCTCCCAAGGGAACTTTAATCTCATACAGAGCTAGACCTTAAAAGAAAAAAAAATATAAGTGCTTTGACCTGATGCATCCCAGTGAAAGAAACGTTGCTAGAGTTTCTGACCAATTTTTCAGCTGCAATTGAAGTCTGTGAACTTACCATACTCGTAACTGCTATTTTTCTAATCTAACTCAAGATACTTATATTGCTTCCCAATAAACAACCCTCTAGTTGTTTATCTCATATCATTATTGTGATACATTGGGAACTTCAGCTCTGGTAAGTTCAGTCTTCATCTTTGAAAGTATTCCATTTCTTTCTGCCCAGTGAGGCATATAATAGGCTCTTTATAACTCTGTGAACAAAGTTTGTTAAATAAATGCCCAATCACATAGTAATCACTTATTTAAATTTAGAACAAAAAGAAAGTTGTTTCAAGGGGGCTTTAGATAGTTTTGATGGAAATGACAATGGAAATGACAAACACCAAGCAAAAAAGATTCTGAAACAAATGAACCATCATTTATTGAGAGAATGTCTATGATATTTCAAAATGGATCAGAGCTGGGATATATATTGAATTTTAATCTCACTAAATGCCACATTTTATTTCTTTTTTTTTTAAAGTTTATTTATTTTGAAGGAGAGAGAAGGAGGAGGGAGGAGGGAGAGAGGGAGAGAAAGAATCCCAAGCAAGCTCTGTGCTGTCAGTTCAGAGCTGGACATGGCGCTGGATCTCATGAACTGTGAGATCATGACCTGAGCCAAAACCAAGAGTCAGACTCCTAACTGACTAAGCCACCCAGGTGCCTCTCACATTTTCTTTCTTGATCAAAAGTTCTTAAATGGGGACTTTTAATTATGGAAAAAAACCCACCAAATTCATGAGGCATATCATATAAGCATATGATAAATTAAACCATGTTATCCAAATATCATGTTTAAAGCATAATCCTTACATGTAAGGACTGAATAACCTGGGTAAAGTACTTAAAGCCTTAAGCTTCAATTCCCTTGGCTATAATTGTTTTCAATAACATTACCTACCTAGATAAATGATCTTGTGGATTAAATGAGATATAATGCAAGGAAAGCAATAACCAGAGGCCTTGACACATAATAAGGAAAGCTTCATTCATAGTGGATTTGTGAATATGGTATATAACAGAGAAGAAATCTTGTGCTCAATTTCTGACAATTCTACAGAATAACAGTTTTTTGATGAGTGTGTAAAATCAGTTTTTAAAACATAAATGGTTTATATGTCAAGGATACCAAAAGCTTTTGTGTTCTTTAGAACATTAAAGAAATTCATCAACTCTATACTACATTAACATTGCTCCCACTCTGGTGGGTCTGGCTCCAAGAATTTTATGATGGAATTAATATGGGCCTTGGTTTGTATTTTATTTGCTGTGTGATTCAAGAAGCAAGGGATACCCAACGTATACGACATTAGCAATGAGATTGTTTAAAACACTCTTCAGTTCAGTTAAAATATGTTCTGTTATTCCATAATCTCGAAACGTAATCATTTCATCTAGATCTTATCAATTCAAAATGTTCAAGTTATAATCTTAGAGATGAACATGACTTTGGAAAAGAAAGTGTACAATTCCAAAGTATGGATGACCAGTCACTGTTTTTTAATACTTTTCCATTAAAACATATTCTCAAAATCTTTTGATGTTTTGGGCAATTCTAAGTTGCATTTTCATAAAAATATAAGTCAATCATAAAACAGGGATACCTCAAAATTATTGTTTACCTGAGCACTTTATATTTAAATTGAACTATCACTAGATTTATTGTACCAGTTTGATTATATGTTTTCTGGGATGCATTTAACAGCATTTTATTAACAATTGTGAACATATAATAATAAATAGTTGTCTGTTTGGATAAGTAGCAGGTTTACATTTCTAATAAACACGACCACCTTTTTCCTTTTGAAAGACCTACCACCAACTCTCACCCATATTTAATATTCATCAAAAGAAACCATCTTACCTTCCATCCATGTCCGATATGCAATCCTTCACCAATGAGCCAAATACTCCCCGAGGTCAGTCCATGGAGCCTTGAAATCATATTTAAATCCCACCATTCCCAAATCACCCATTTTCAGTAAATTTTTTATTTAAAATAAATTTTTTTAAATGTTTTATTCATTTCTGAGACAGAGAGAGAGACAGCATGAGCAGGGGAGGATCAGAGAGGGAGGGAGACACAGAATCAAAAACAGGGTCCAGGCTCTGAGCTGGCTGTCAGCACAGAGCCCGAAGTGGGGCTCGAACCCCAAACTGTGAGATCATGACCTGAGCCGAAGTTGGACGCTTAACCGACTGAGCCACCCAGGTGACCTGTAAATCTTTTATTTTTGAAGTTTGTTTATTTATTTTGAGAGAGAGAGAGAGAGAAAGAGAGCATGAGCAGAGGAGTGGCAGAGAGAGAATTCCAAGCAGCCTCTGCACTGCCAGCGTAGAGCCCCATGTGGGGCTCGATCTCATGACTGCAAGATCGTGAACTGATCAAAACCAAGAGTCCGACGCTTGATCAACTGAGCCATCCTGGTGCCCTTACATTCAGTAAATCTTTCAATGCATTAACTCTTGCCTCAAAATCAGTCTCAGATGATCTGTTCTTTT